AATGGCCCACTGCATGAATACGGCAGCAGTAATGGTCCACTGCGTGAATACGGCAGCAGTAATAGTCCACTGCATCAATACAGCAGCAGTAATGGTCCCCTACATGCATAGGGCAGCAGTAATGGTCTCCTGCGCAAATACAGCAGCACTAAAGGTCTCCTTCATGAATACAGCAGCAGTAGTTGACTACAACCTCCTAAGGAACCCTGAGCCAGAGCCCTACAGCTAAATTCCTTACACACAGAATCTGTGAGATGTGCTATTTTAAACTAAGTTGTGTGGTAAATTTTTTACACAGCAACAACTAATTCATTTTGCTCAAACCCAAGTCCTCACACACATGGGGAAAGTCTCTGAGCTACATTGCCACCCTGAGCTGCTCTCAGGACGCTAACCAGTAACTTCTGCTTTGCTGAGCTCACTGGGAAATTCTCTGCTTGCACTCACTAGACACGCTCAGCATCGCACCATGTCCTACACAGCTGTATGTTCTCATTTCAGAAGTGCTTCTGCTATTTGATGTTCTGGACACGGCAGACTCTTCTGGTTTTGTTTCTACCTTATAGGTTAATCCTTTTGTGTTTTCTACCCCCTTTACCCTTCAAGAACAGAAAAACAAAACAAAACAAAACAAACAGCATAGTGTGGTGATTAAGAACACAGATTTTAAAACCAGATAGGCTGAGTTTAAATTCTGGATCTGTCACTAACTAGATTAGCAATCTTTATTTTCCACAGGCTTCTCGTCCAATTCTTCAGCAAAGTCCACTGGTTTCACTAATAAACTGTGTCTAATACTTACTAAAAGTGCCAGAAATGTTCAAACATAAAAAAGACTGCCTTTAGGCATGTCCTGAAAGGTATTTTATCATCAGATAAGAAATAATACCACCCTGTACTAAAATACAAAAAGAGAGAAAAGCAATAATACCGATTCACTCTGGAATGATCAACAATGTAGCCTCCAGGGAAAGCTGCCTACACACTTACTTAACATCAATATTTAAAGCTTTGAAAAGACGTGCAAATGACTCACAAACAATCTTTTTAATTTATTCTCAAATCAGGAGCATTGGGAGCAGGAACAGTTTCCTTTGAGTCATTCATTCACTTATCAAATACTTAGTGAAGTTTATCTTCCCTAAGGATAACAAATCTGAAGAAATGGCACCATCTGACCTCATACACCTCACACGCTCATGGCGTGGTACACATCAAACTAATGGGAACAATACACTGTGGCTGAAGTAACAGTACTGTGGTGAAAATGGAGGAAAGAAGGAGCAGAAGGACAATTTTAAACAGAAACATCGGGCAATGCATCAGGCAATATGGTCTTGAGAAGGTGACCGTCAGCAAAGAGTGCAGAGATTCATTCCTACATCCTTTCCCCTAGGACATGTCACTAAATTGCTGCCCTTCCCCTTCAAGCTAGCAGCAGCCTGGAGGTTTCTTCTCT